AATTTACACTTAAAATTTTTGGCTACGCGCCCGGACTGCGCATACAAGTCGAGGCAACCCCCAAGTGAGATTTTTACGGTCTCGGAAGTACAAGGCGAGTGGGAAATACGGTGATGACCCTCCCTAGAATTTTTTCTCTTTGTGATCGATCGATACTTTGAGATTCCTTTACAATCTAAACGAAGGGCTCGATTCATTTCTGCACGCTTTTTGCCTGTAGCACTTTTGAACTCACCTTTTCCAAGAATCCAGGTGAATATAATCTTTTCAACATGTTAAAGAAGCTAGTATAGTAGTATGATAGTTATTATATTATGCGTACTTATTTTCACTTTACAGCATTGACGTACAACCCTACAAGCATCTTGTTTATAAATGTGCCAAGCGTATCCAAGTTGCAGTGGCATCCATTTACTGTAGTTTCAAACAGTAATTTGGAGGCAGATAAAGTCAGTGTTGTCATTAAATGCATAGGAAGTTGGAGTCAAAAGTTAGAAAAACAACTTTCTTCTTCTCCGGATCATCTTCATATCTCAACAGAGGGACCTTATGGACCTTCATCATCATATTTCTTAAGGTAAATACCAAGGTGGAAACCTATACGTACGTTCCAGATTTTTCTTTTTTCCTTTACCAGTGAATGACTAAGCTAGCTCAATTGAAAAGGAGAAAGTAAAAGAATAATTACAGTTCCCTCTCCTCTAATGTTGACATGGAAAGTAATGGGATCTTCGTGTAGGTTACATTAATTCAAGTACTTAATTTTAAAATACAATCATCGGATATCCATGTTAATTAGTTAGGTGATTTTACCTCAAGACCTTTCCTTGTTCTTATATTCACTATGCATTCGTGTTTTGTATTTTTTTTCTTTTATTCATAGTTTTAAATATATGTTTTACTTGAGATACCATGCGAAATCTTTTGTCTAGTATAAAGTACCAACCATGACATTTGCTAATGATCTGCGCGCTTTGGCACTTTCATCTTTAAAGGGGAACAATTCTCTTTGTCTAAATATACTCCCTCCGTCCTAACACACAGAATTTAAACAAAAAAACTTTTGAAATTTGTGGTCTATACAAACCGTGTCATAAACACCCCCCCCCCCCCCCCATAAAATTATGCTATTAAGGGTAAAACACAAAGTTTACCGTTGAATACATAAATATTTCATTCTTTTTTGGATAAACAAAAAAAGTGTTTCATATAATCAAACTGCTCTTGATTTATATTCAAATATCTGCTCGTTCAACTTGAACACATAGTCTAATTAGTAGTTGTTGCTCGACTTGATGTGAGTTTGAGAGTTAAATTGTTTCTCCAAATCTGTTGTAATTCATGATCAATTTAGCTTCTATATACTTCTAACTTTTTCACTAGGTCATCTAAAAAATAATTAAAGGCAATCGTCCATAATAAGTACTACCTCCATTTATTTGTACTTGTCCATTATACTAAAATATATTTCACTTTTACTTGTCCATTTTAGCAAATAAGAAGGGGAAATTTTTTTGTTTTGCCCTTACCACTAACTAACTCATTTCCCAAATCATCTCCCAATTTTTTTGAAATTCTATCATGGGTAAAATTGTAAAATACAGTATGATGAACTTGAAGAAAGTATCATCTTCGACAGTTCAGATACCGATGGTTTGGTTTTCCCTCACTGTGATGCCCTCGTTATCACTTTACGAATTTTAGATACCGATGTGAGGCGCATTATGGTAGATGATGGAAGTGGTGCGTGCATTATTCACCCTCGAGTACTTGCACAAATGAAACTCGAGGAAAAGATAGTGTCGTGCTGCATCACGCTAACGAGTTTTAACAAAGCAGTTGAGCGGACATCCGGCAAGATCACACTACCCGTCATGGCCGGCGGCGTCACTCTGAAAACCACATTCCATATCATGGACCAAGACACGACATACAACGCCATAATAGGACGACCATGGATAAACACCGTGAGAGTCATCCCCTGAAGCTTGTACCAGGTCATCAAATTCCCAACTCTATGGGGAATATTCAGTATCCGAGGGGAACATCGCACATCCCAGGAATGCTATCATATCTCCCTAGACTACACAGTCTCTCAGCAAGCGAAGGACAAAGAAAAAGAGGCATAGAAATCAATAGGGTCGAGGTCGATATGCGATGATAGTGAGAACATCATTAGAGATCCCGATATGGTCGAGGCTGCGTTGTCGACCATACAAGACCTCGACCCCGATCAATTAAAGAGTAACAACCACAACAAGAAAGCATACATCGGTTGCAAACTTAAGGAACCAGGTAAGCTTCGTCAATTCTTAACTGCTAATGCGGACTTGTTTGCTTTTATCCATACAGATATGCGAAGTATCCCGAAGGAAATCGCCATGCACAAGTTCAATGTCGATCCATTCCACCCCTTGGTGAGGCAGGTTAGATGCAAGTTCAACTCAGCAATTAATGATGTGGTATGCGAAGAGGTGGAAAAACTATTAGAAAATGGCTCCGCCAGAGAGTTGAAATACCCCCAATGGGTCGCCAATATGGTCATGTTAAAAAAAAGAATAGGAAATGGAGGATGTGCGTAGATTTCACAGATTTGAACAAAACATGCCCCAAGGATTCATTTTCGTTACCCCATATCGACCAACTCATCGACGCAATGGCCGGGCATGAACTACTTAGCTTCTTTGGGTCATCACCTGTATTCCTACTCGCTCTGTATTTCTGAGGCCGTAAAAACCTCACTTGGGGGTTGCCTCGAGTTTGTGTGCGCAGTCCGGGCGCATAGCCGGAACGTTTAAATATGAATTTGTGAGAAAAATGTTAAATCTTGGTATTTAATTGATTAAGTTTGACTTCGGTCAATGTTTTGGGCAAACGGACCCGGACCCGTGATTTGACGGTCCCGGAGGGTCCGTAGGAAAATATGGGACTTGGGCGTATGCCCGGAATCAAATTCCGAGGTCCCAAGCCCGAGAAAAGAATTTTTTGTGTGAAATTGTTTTCTGGAAATAAGTAAGGAAATTGGAAATGAAACTGGATTAAACGACTGTGGTATCGGGCTTGTATTTTGGTTCCGACGCCCGGTACAAGTCATATATACTGCTTAAGTACTTTCTGTAACGTTTGGTTAGATTTGGACGTCATTTGACGTGTTTTGAGCTAGAAGCAATAAATTTGATGTTTCATGGAAATTGGAAGGAATCCTAGGTCTTAAGGCCTAATTTGATGATTTTGATGTTGTTTGGGCAATTTGATCGCACGGATGAGTCCGTAGGATATTTTTTTTGGCTTATATGTATGTTCGGTTTGGAGCCCCGAGGGCTCGGTTGAGTTTTGAGTAGGTCCCGGGAGGTCTTAGGCTAGAAAAATAGCAGATGGTTGCAAGTTCAGGGGTTGCAGGCCCCCAGCGCGGCCGCAGTCATTTCCGCACGGTCCGCGCTGGAAGCCGTGCGGCCGCGGTGCATTTCTGCACGGTCCGCGTGGCTAGGTTCAGAGCGCCAGTGAACTCTAGGTCGACCAGCACGGCCGCGCACCAAATCAGTGCGGTCCGCGCTGGGAGATTTAGAGAGTGGGTCTTGGGTCCATTCAACCAGCGCGGCCGCGCACCAAATCAGTGCGGTCCGCGCTGGGTAGGTTCAGAGAGTCATTTTTCTCCCCTTCCTCGGCGCGGCCGCGGTGCATTTTTGTGCGGTCCGCGCCAGTCTTCAGCACAGTATATAAAGTCGGGATTTTCAGTCATTTTTCACTTTTTCAAAACCCAAAACATAAGAGGCGATTTTCCAAACGATTCTACTTCTTCAAAACGATTGGTAAGTGATTTCTAACTCATTTTCTTTACTCCTTAACATCTTTAAACATAATTTCAACTTCAAAACAAAGTTTTAATGGGGAAATTTGGGAATTTAGGGTAGAACCTAGGTTTTCTAAAATTGGGGGTTTTGGACCTCAATTCGGGGTCCGATTCCAAAATAACTTACATATTTGAGTTCATGGGGGAATGGGTATACGGGTTTTGGTTCGAACCTCGGGTTTTGGCCATGTGGGCCCGGGGGCATTTTTGACCTTTTTGGGGTAAATTGATGAAAAAGCTATAATTAGTCATTGGTTTGATTTGTTTAGCACATACTGATAACATGAAGTCATTATTGCATAGATTTGGTTGAGTTGGAGCCGAATTCGAGAGGGAAAGCGGTCGTGGAGGATTGTATTGGCCGTGGAAGTTGAGGTAAGTGTTTGGTTTA